TTATTAATTGCCACTCTTTGGTTTATTGTGTTTAACCACTTGAGGGGTTGTTAAACTTGTGCAGTCGTTAACTTCTCTCGAGGACATTTTCTTTTGTAGAAACAGTCACAGATTTAAATTTTGACTAATTATTCTTTAGCTGTGTTAATAACTAGTTAAGTAATAAATTCAGAAAGTGTGGACCATATAGAAATTTTATTAAACGAGTTATTTGAATGAAAGAGATAAATTAGGGGATGTAAATTTAGGGAATTATTTTGCGAACCACAACTGAACTTTATGTTATTGATTTTATTTTAAGAAAAACACATACATCTTCGTAAAATATAATTATTATAGATATACCAGTACTAAAATTTATTTATAGTGAATGAATTAAGAATCTGAAGAACTTGAATTAAGAACCTGAAATTTTCAAAGTAAATTCGTAAAGTAAATTTGAACAGTCGAATCTGAAAACTAGAAACATCATGCAGTTTAATATGCAACAATCAACCTCTTATCTAACATGGCAAACGAAGTTGCAAAATCTCTTTCTTACATGTACACAGTAGAATTACCTAGCAGTAAAAGATATTTAACATCACCTTTGATGTCTCAAACTATCATCACATCCATTCGTACACGCAAGATTATTCAAATAATAAATGGGTACATGGAGATTCGTTGCAAAATATGCGTGGGCGTTGTACACACGTTGCTTCTGCATTTCTTAACGTCCTCTAACTGCGATGTAAGTCAATGATGTAGTTTCTCTTCGTATTAACCCTTTGCACTCGTAAGTCTTATATTCGTCATTATGTTTAATTCTACAATTTTAGATATGTGTCTTTTGGCTGAATGTGTAATGTAATACTTTGAATTTTTAGAGGTTGAAATTTTTGAATTTTCAAGTTCCTAAATTCTGAAATTTTCAATTTATCAAATTTCTAACTTCTGAAATTTCCAAATTCTCAAATTTCCAACTTCTCAAATTTTCAAACTCTCAAATTTCCACCTTCTCAAATTTCCAATTTCTCCAATTTCCACCTTCTCAAATTTCCAATTTCTCCAATTTCCACCTTCTCAAATTTCCAATTTCTCCAATTTCCACCTTTTCAAATTTCCAATTTCTCCAGTTTCCACCTTCACAAATTTCCAAATTCTCAAATTTCCAATTTCTCCAATTTCCACCTTTTCAAATTTCCAACTTCTCAAATTTCCAATTTCTCCAATTTCCACCTTCTCAAATTTCCAATTTCTCCAATTTCCACCTTCTCAAATTTCCAATTTCTCCAATTTCCACCTTCTCAAATTTCTAACTTCTGAAATTTCCAAATTCTCCAATTTCCAATTTCTCCAATTTCCACCTTCTCAAATTTCCAACTTCTCAAATTTCCAAATTCTCAAATTTCCAATTTCTCCAATTTCCACCTTTTCAAATTTCCAACTTCTCAAATTTCCAAATTCTCAAATTTCCAAACTCTCAAATTTCCAAACTCTCAAATTTCCACCTTCTCCAATTCCCACCTTCTCAAATTTCCAACTTCTGAAATTTCCACCTTCTCAAATTTCCAACTTCTCAAATTACCAAATCCCTAAATTCCCAAATTTTCAAATATCCAACCCTTAAACCCCAAATTCCAAAATCCCTCAATTCTCAAATTTCCAAATTTGCAAGTATCCCAAATTTCTAAATTTTCAATCAAGCGTGAAAATCGTATGTCACTTTTCGCTCCTACATTTTTCTTTCTATCGACACATTACTATATCGATGGTAAATCGAAGAAAACTTCAAGGAATTTCGAGTTAAAACCCAAAACAATCATCACCAATTTAATCTATCAAAAACACATTTAATACATCGTTATATCGAATTATGTTCGAAGACTACATCGAAGATTTCACGCTCCAGGTTTGATTCACAGTTTATCGATATTTGAGGTTGTCTGTCAAATTCCGCTCAAATGTATACACAGACAGGTTTTAATCGTTTTCAAAGCTGCGATAAAGATGTAGTGACCTAGACATCGACGTAAACGAGCTTTCGTAGTAAAGGAAAGCTGTTTTCGCAGCTGTATCGCGAACTAACTAAACGCGTGAACGTAAACCAACCGCTAAATTTGGACATCCTGTAAAAGATGGACTTCCGTTCGTTGAGCCTTCTCGAGTCGTTACTTATTTACGTAAATACTGACACTCTTAGATTAATCTTTTCCTCGAAATTTTCCTTTGTTCAAATGACAATGGTGTTTTAGTTACACTCTCGTTATAGTTGCACTCAACTTTGCATATTCTCAAGTTTTCAAATTCTCATATTTTTAAATTCTCAAATTTTCAATTTTTCACAATTCCAAACTCTCAAATTTCCAAACTCCCAAATTTCCAACTTCTCAAATTTCCAAATTCTCAAATTTCCAACTTCTCAAATTTCCAAACTCTCCAATTTCCAACTTCTCAAATTTCCAATTTCTCCAATTTCCAAATTCTCAAATTTCCAAACTCTCAAATTTCCAATCTCTCAAATTTCCAAACTCTCAAATTTCCAATCTCTCAAATTTCCAAACTCTCAAATTTCCAACTTCCCAACTTTCCAAATTCTCAAATTCCCAACTTCTCAAATTTCCAACTTCTCAAATTCCCAATTTCTCCAATTTCCAAATTCTCAAATTTCCAAACTCTCAAATTTCCAATCCAACTTCTCAAATTTCTAAATTCTCAAATTTCCACTTCTCAAATTTCCAATTTCTCAAATTTCCAACTTTTCTAATTTCCAAATTCTCAAATTTCCAACTTCTCAAATTTCCAATTTCTCAAATTCCAAACTTCTCAAATTTCCAATTTCTCAAATTCCCAACTTCCCAAATTTCCAACCTCTCAAATTTCCAAATTCTCAAGTTACCAAATCCCTCAATTCTCAAATTTCCACCTCACCTCCCCAAAACCCCAAACCATCGTCCCCAAATATTTCCCCCTAAACCTCCAACAAAGAGGTCAAACCATTCACCATACAAACGAACATTATTAGCTATTCGAGCAACGACAGTAATGAAGCTCGTAGAATATTAAATCGTTAATTAATAAACATATTAAAGGAGCGGAACACGTAGATGAACGGGACACAACGCGGACAAACAGTGCGAAAGAAATATCGGGGCCGTGTGAAAACGCTCGAACTGCACTCATTGGAAAGCGCTCGTTCCACGACAATAACCGCTTAAATCGTTTTCCAATGTCACAGAGAGCTGACTGGCCGTCGCATGAAACAGACGGAAAATGATCGATCAATTTTCCCGTCGAAACGCGAAGGCGGTCTCGTAGGATGCGAATTATTCGCGTTGAAGGCTAAATGAAAGCCCGAGGAAAATCATTGACCGTACCTGTGTGTAGGATGCTCGTGAAAGTCAGGTAATTTTAACTCGTTCAGCCGGCACTTTTCTTTTTTTTTCTTCTCTCGATGAGACTACGCTGCCGGTCAACAGTTTTTAACTACCTAATTTCCTCGCTGCATTATAATATTCAACGCGTTTCACGCCGGAGTGAAAATGACTTTGAAAATAATTATGGGTAGCGAATCAGTTTTCTGAGGTTTAGGTTGTTAAGTGTGGAAGTATTTTATTTCGTTTGACTTTGGGGATTTGGAAATTTGATGAATTTGGGGGGTTGAAAGTTTGGGAATTTGACAAATTTAGGGTTTGGTAATTTGGGGTTTGAGAATTTGGAAATTTGCCAGATTTGGGATTTGGAAATTTGGGAATTTAGGGATTTGGAAATTTGAAAGTTTGGAAATTGGAGAAGTTGGAATTTTGAGAGTTTAGAAATTTGAGAAGTTGGGAATTTGAGAATTTGGAAATTTGAAAGTTCGGAAATTGGAGAAGTTGGAAATTTGAGAGTTTAGAAATTTGAGAAGTTGGGAATTTGAGAATTTGGAAATTTGAAAGTTCGGAAATTGGAGAAGTTGGAAATTTGAGAGTTTAGAAATTTGAGAATTTGGAAATTTGAGAAGTTGAAAATGTGAGAAGTTGGAAATTTGAAATTTGGAAATTTGAGAAATTGGAAATTTGAAATTTGGAAATTTGAGAATTTAGAAATTTGAGAAGTTGGAAATTTGAGAATTTGGAAATTTGAGAAGTTGGAAATTTGAGAATTTGGGAATTTAAGAATTCGAGCATTTGGCAATTTTGGATGCGTTAACAATTTGCAAATTTGAGAACTTAGAAATGTGGGAATTGACAGGTTTGTAAATTTATAAATTTGCAAACCTATAATTTCCAACATCCAATAATTGAGATATCTGAACATTTACAAAATGAAAAATGTGGAATTAAATTATCTATCAATATATTACACATGTAACGAGTTAGGAATGTTGCTTTTACACGCGTACGATAATAATTACAGGAATGGAATTTCATCGATGGCTCATGATAATATCGTAAAATTCTCAACGCGGATTGCATAACGTGGAAGTCATAAGCAGCACAGTGTGGTTCTCACGTTTAAAGTATGGGATATGTTTAATGGGGTGTTTTCAGAAGAATAATTGAATAAATTACCGCGAATAATTGCAACGTTCTATGCAGATTTCCAGCATGTATTCTTTTACGATTATTTTTGACAAAAGAAGAATGTTTATTAGTATACAATTATATTACAAGAAAGCTATAATTAACTTCTTTATCGTAGCGTGATTCAGAACATCTTATAATTAACATACATTCTTTATCTTTGACAAAATCTTTGTGAAAAGGGTTTTGTACTTCAACCAGTCTGTTATGTATTTTAACATTAGAGAACTTGTAGATAATATAAAACATTTAGTATCTTATTATTTAGCTATCAAATGTTTAAGTGATGGGTTTAAGTGGATTTGAGTCAATTTGAACAAGTTAGATTCTAACTGAACTAGTCATTTTGTTTTAAGTCACCGGATCTCCTTCCTATATTCCACAACTATCCACTCAATTCTCAAGAACCATCGATTATGCAGTTCCTGATAAATTGTTATTTTAATGTTTCAGCCGCCGGAGAACGAGTTGCAGAAAGTTGGCGAACGAGTGCCGAGCGAACACGAACTCAGAGTGCAGAGATCTCTGCAACGACTGAACGTCCCGGATTGGTACAAGAACTCTCCCGCGGCTCGCGACGGTTTCCGGTTAAAGAGGCACTCCGATGCGTCGCAGCACGGAGGATGGCGTGCTCTCGGCTCCAAAACCACTTCCCTATCGTCCCTTTCGTCGTCTTCCAATAGACAGCCGACTACAGGTAGGAAACTATATTCGACATCAAATTTTTATTTTTTTGAATTCCTATACTTTTGACTACTTAGACTTCGGATTTCTTAGATTTCCTAGATTCTATAGATTTCCAGTTCTCTCGATCACCCTGATTTCCTAGATTCTATAGACTTCCAGTTCTCTCGATTCCCCTGATTTCCTAGATTCCAGAATTTCTTAGATTCCCAAGTTCTTAGATCGCCAACTCTCTAGATCCCCAATTCCCGAGATTCCCGATTCCCTAAATCCCCAATTCCCTAATTCCCCGATTCCCTAAATTCCCAATTCCCAAGATTCCCGATTCCCTAATTCCCCGATTCCCTAAATCCCCGATTTCCTAAATCCCCGATTTCCTAAACTAATTCCCCGATTCCCTAAATCCCCGATTCCCTAAATCCCCGATTCCCTGAATCCCCGATTCCCTAAATCCCCGATTTCCTAAATCCCCGATTCCCTAAATTCCCAATTCCCAAGATTCCCGATTCCCTAAATCCCCAATTCCCTAAATCCCCGATTCCCTAAGTCCTCGATTCCCTAAATCCCCGATTCCTTAGATCCCTGATTCCCTAATTCCCCGATTCCCTAATTCCCCGATTCCCTAAATCCCCGATTTCCTAAATCCCCGATTCCCTAAATTCCCAATTCCCAAGATTCCCGATTCCCTAAATCCCCAATTCCCTAATTCCCCGATTCCCTAAATCCCCGATTCCCTAAATCCTCGTCTCCTTAATCCCCCATTCCCTAAATTCCCAATTCCCTAAATCCCCAATTCTGATCCCCCAAATATCCAAATTTTCAAATTTTCCACAAATTGCCTCTCCTTTTTTTATAAAATTTAAAAAAGTCACTCGTGAAAGTTTAATTGAAGGATGGAAGATGAGTCGAAAGATTGTTCGAAACGTTATTCGAGCGTCGTAATATCGAGCAAACTATAGCGCACACGCCTTTCATACTCGTAAAAAGTCACGGAACGTCCGAAATTAGCGCACAGCGTCGGCCAATTTCATTTACGCGCGTCTCCGTTTCTCGGCGTGCGACACAGTCACGGATATTCTCTGGCTACGGCGAGTAATGGCCGGTAGGAAGCGACTAATAAATTTAGCGGGGCAAGTTAATTCGATTAATTCGCTTCCCTGCGAGCCGTCTCTCAGAGAACACGTCGAACCCAGTTCGCGTTGCCTCGTTGCGAAAGGGTTGCCTTCTAACCTGTCGCTAAAATGTTCGCAACTTGTTTACGATGCTACGGACAACAACCATAATTCACGGATTTTTATGAAGGTTCTGATTGCAAGCTTTCTTTGTTAATAGATTTTTATGTAGAGTTTTATATTTTCGAGTTTATGCTTTTTCTGCGTTTTTAGATTTAGGTCATTTTGCAATTTGATATTTTTACTGTTTCTTAGTTAGATAAATTCTTAAGTTTTCAGGTTTTAAGTTGTAAATCTCTGAATTTGGAATATTTTTTATTTTGATTTGTTATGCTTTTAGATTTTTAAATTTCTAAATTATTAGATTTGTAAATTTTTTAATTTCTAAATTATTAGATTTGTAAATTTTTAAATTTCTAAATTATTAGATTTACAAAATTCTGAGTTCTGAAATTTTCAGATTCGTAAATTAAAAAATTCCTAAATCACCAAATTTTTATTTAAAGCTTTCAGAATTTCAGACTTGGAGACCTCGAAATGTTAAGACTTTAAAAATCTATAAATATATAAATTTAAAAATTAAGGTCTCTAATAATTTAAGAATTAAAAAGTTTAAAAGTATAAAAAGTCGAAAATTGTCCCATAATAACCCAGATCCACCGCATTCTAATCCAAAGATTAACCGACTTCAGAGGTATCTGGACCGCGAAAGGTTAATTCGTTAGAAACCAGAAGGGATGCAAGGTCAATACGAAAAGTAGCTCCCAGAATGTGTGCCGTTGTGTTAATTAAATTTAGAACAGGCTTTACTTAACCCTTTAAGTACTCTGCGCCACTACAGCCTCCCTCCTCTTTACCTTGCATCGAGAGTTGCTGGATATCTTGTTACTTGATGGCAATTTTACACTTGCTGTTTTTATTCTTTTATTTCTTCCTCCACTAAGGAATTTTGCTTTCGATCCAAGTAGATAGTACTAAGTACATAATGTACGGGTGCACTTAAAGTTGTTTACGTTGCTCCTTAATTGAAAAAGAAAACTATTTTATCAGTAAATTATGAGGCAAATATGGCGTCGTAAATGTAGAAATATGGAGTCCTGTACTTTTAACGTTAACTAGTTAAAATTGCATTAAGCTTGCATTATATATTTATTAAGGTAGCTTGTTAAAGCCAAGTAGAATATATTGTTGATATAATATGTTGTTCACTTTTATTATCATAAATGAGTAAGTTTATAATATAAAAAGGCGTGTCAGCTATTAGGTATTTATCAAGGTAGCTTGTAAAAGCCAATTAGAATATATTGTTGATATAATATATTGTCGTTTACTTTTATTATTATAAATGAGTAAATTTATGACATAAAAAGGCGTGTCGACCATTTTGTTAATTCGTACGCTTAGTGTCACACATTATATTTATGCTCCTAATAGACAACTAAGTATTTTCATACATTTGTATAAAACCGTAAATTAAGAATTTTCAAATCATCATTAGAGAGATAATTAACTATTGTAGGTAATGAATGTTATATATTTTTTTTCGTGTTTTTATGTAGGTGCTCTTCTAAGTCCAAGTCCCACGCCGCCTGTATTCTCAAGATGGAGTACCAGCTTGCTGAACAGTGCCGGAAGTTCGCCAGCAAGTTCGGCGAGGTCGTCGTTCAACCATCGACAGCCATACTTAGGCTGGCGTTCACAAGAACGACTAACGAATCCTCGGACACCGGCAGAACGTCTTGCTCAGGGCATTCTTCCTCAGTTGCAAGCAGCAAACAAGGTTCGTACCCTTACATACAACAATTTTTACATTCCTACATTTCTGCATTATCATCTCTGAAGATCTCTGAAGATCTGGATTTTCAAGTTCCTTGATCTCCAAATTACTTCTTGGGTTTCTACTTTCTTAGATTGTTAGATATCCAAATACCGAGGTCATTGAATTCTAGGTTTTCAAGTTCATAGATTTTAGAAGGTCTACAGTATCAATTTTCTGGATTCACAAATTTACACATTTGCAAAAAGCTGGGGTGGAGAATTCATAGATTCCCAAATTCGTACATCCCCGAATTTCTAGATCTCCCAATTCCTAGATCTCCTAGTTCCTAGAATACCTGAATTTCTAGGTCCCCGAATTTCTAGGTCCCCCAATTTCTAGACGCCCCAATTTCTAGATACCCCAATTCCTAGATCTCCCAATTCCTAGATTCCCCAATTCCTGGATTTCCTAATTCCTAGAATACCCGAATTCCGAGATCCCCGAATTTCTAGGTCCCCCAATTCCTAGATCCCCCAATTCCTAGACCCCCCAATTCCTAGACACCCCAATTTCTAGACGCCCCAATTCCTAGACACCCCAATTTCTAGACCCCCCCATTCCTAAATTCCACAATTTCTAGATCCCCCAATTCCTAGACCCCCCAATTCCTAGACACCCCAATTCCTAGACACCCCAATTTCTAGACGCCCCAATTCCTAAATCTCCCAATTCCTAGATCCCCCAATTCCTAGATCCCCCAATTTCTAGATCCCCCAATTCCTACATCCTCCAATTCCTAGATCCCCAAATTCTCAGATACCCAAATTAATACACCCCTAAATTTCATAGTTCCCAAGCTTCTAATTCGTCAAATCCCTTGATTTCCATATCAGTACATACCCAAATCCCAACGTCCCACGTTGCCAAATCCTCACAAATCCCCAAAGATCAACGAGTGGTAGCTCTCCATCCTTCATCACCACATCTTCCCTAGAGAAACCAAATCTCCTGACTCAACATACATTATAGAATCTACTACATTAGTGTCTAATACATATCAGTGTTTGGAGTAATATCAATGCTTGTCATACTTAAAACTCCTTATTCCACTTCCTTACTCATAAAATATACTTCATACATGTTACATCTTCAAAAATTCCAAACTCTACAGCACATTTCAAACGTAATCTCCTCATAATCTAATAGCCTCTAAAATTTTACTTGTACTCGTAATTTAAAGCAGAACGTGTCCCTACATAATTTTATTTAGCATCCCTATATAGTGTACCTAAATTTTTAATATAATAGATCATTAAGATTTTTAATTTTTATTTCAATTCACGAAATCCGGGGCCTCGGTGACCGTGGCTGACCCCTGGCCCCGCCCACGATCTCTTCGATTTCCTCTTTGTTTCAAATTTATTTTTAATTCGCGCAGACAGGGCAGAAACGCAGCGACGTATCTATAATTAGAAATTCTGGCAGAAAAGAGCCACGCTGGCGTCTGGTGGCCTTTGCAACCCGAGACAAATTGACTGTTACCCGATGTTCGCCCTTCTCTAAGGTTAAATCGTACACACCGTATCCCAACTTTAATTACTTGCTCGTTACGGAAAAATAACTGCTTCGTCGAAACGTCTCGTCTCACGGTCGTTTTATTTTGCCAAATTCTTGCTGAGGCTTATTCCCCTTCTCAATCGATATAATTATTCGCTGACATAATTAACCTTCACAATTTTTTATTTGTATCAAATTTGATATGGTTAAATAATAAAGTTTAATATTATATAGTAATAATATAGTTTGAAACTACAATAAACATTAACATTTTGAATGTCGCGAGACTGAGCACATCTTGAGATTCATTAACCTTTTCCGACCCAGTGTTGTCATATGACAAGATCTTATTTTACCTTCAGATGTCCACTTCTTATTGAAATACAACTATGAAGTAATGTATACAGAAATTGTTTATAAATTATAGGAAGATTATTTATATTGCATATGGATGTTTAGAATATAAATCAGCAAAAATATGATTTGTAGCTAAAATAGTTTGTGTTAGAAGTCGATTGTTACATGGTCAGAAGTGATCAACAATATCACTGTTCATGTACAAGTAGAAATAATTACTTCTAGTAAAAGTAACATACTTGAAAAGGTATTAAATGTTAAATATTAAATATAGAGTTTTCATAGTACGTAAAATCTGTAGTATGAAAGATGAATGACCGTAAGAGTACTAAAACACCCGTCTCGTTTCACAGCAGCAACAGCAACAACAACAGCAGCAACAGCAGACAACGAATCAGCAGCTAGAGGTAAGGAACTCGATAAAGGAGGTAACCTCGGCCATTGTGCACTACGTGCAAAGCGGTCAGGAGGTTGGTGGAGGTGGCAGGCTGTCGCCTCGACCTCGACCTGAAGACTGGGACGACAGGGGCGGAGCAAGGTCGACCAGCCCCAGAGGTGAGCACTAAACAACAACCCCTGCCAAAAAAAAAATTTACATCCCACCACCACCACCACTACAACCATCACCACTTTTACTCTTCACGACAAAGGTAATTTTGAGTTTTCCGTCTTGATGTGTTCTCGTTGCCTCTGCATCTATAATTCTGCGACCTAGACACCTCTCTTCTTCTTCTTCTTCTGTCTACCTGCCTGTCTATATGTCTGACTGTTTCTGGTTTACCGTTGTATCAACAGGAATGTTTGTAACATAATTTCTCTCTGTCACTACCAACTCGAAGCACCAGTCTACGATGTTCTTTTTGTGTACTAACGAGAATCGCTTTCAAAATGGTCGACGGTGCATCGTTCGTTCTTTTCTTCACGTTCAAGCCTCGTTAAGCTTCCTCCAGAATTTACATAGAAGTGAACATCTTGGAACTGAATCGTGTATGTGCATATCGAGTAGTGCAGGTGGTTGAAATTGAGCGGAAAATTCATTCGGACACACTCCTTAAACGTATCTTCTGAAGGGATGACTGATATGGTCTTCAGGGTAGGTCTCGTTACATTGCCACGGGAGATGTAGTACTCTTGGAATTGGTTGGAGGAAATTCGAAAAACTTAGTTTGATAACTTCATTTTAAATTCAAAATTTTTCAGACTTCTAACTTTAAGAGTTAACTTCACACATTCCTCGCAGACGTCGAAAATTTGAAAAATAAGTTACCTTGAAAACTCGAAGTTTCTCTATTTGTAACTTTGCTTCGGCACTTTAGTGCTCTATTCGGAAGCTGCGTCAGGTTTAACTGGCAATTTAGATTTCCTCAAAAATATAAAAAACATGACAAAAAACCCACTTGTTTATCAAACGTAGTTAGAGACGATTCACACGAAAGTCGCCCAAACTCGTTAGATAACCTTGACACTAAACCGTATCCCCAGAAGAGGTCCGCAAGGTCGAGCAGGCGATAAAAAGGGAAAAAATGGCGAAGGGCTAGAAGGAAGGCTCGGCCGGTCCACCTTAGCCGACGATGATCTTTAATCACCGAAAGTCTCGCCGAAAGTATGCAGAGGCGACCGGTTGCTATTTCGACAGCCTTGTAGCATCGTGGCCGTGTTGGCCCCGAAATAGATTACCCTGAAGTTTGAATCACCCCTCTTGTGTCTCCGTACGCTTTTCGGTGCGAGCGAACTTACCCTGCCACTCGGCTGACCTTAGGGACAAAATTAAAACAAACATCGAGAGAGAACAGTAGGCGAAGATAACACGTGGCCGCCTGTTACCTCGTACGCTTTTATAATCGTCGAGGATCCATCGATACTGTGATCCATCTGAAGAACGCGCGTCTATGCTTCTGACTGTGCGTGTCTCACGAGAAGACTTGCGGAAGACTGCTGAAGCTAGATCACTAAGACTTGCTAGATTACTCAAGAAACCTAATTGACAAATGTGGTTAGGTCTATATAATATTTCTGAGCTTCAAAACACTTTTGGAACCTCTTCCTAAACTTCCTGTTTCTAATAAAAATTTGTATATTATTTTTCTTTTGAAGTAATACAAAATCTCTAAATATGTGAATAAATGAAAATAAATTTATTAAAATATAACCAATTATTGTTATACCCGTCGTAAATAAAAGTTACTAGTAATGTACCCGTCTGCATCCCCAGAAATCTCAGTGCGGACCTAAATATAATCTTCCCGTGCCAATAACACACTACAACTTGATAACACAACAATTGATGTGTGACTAGAATTACGTCTCCTTTACCCCGATTGGCTAGACTAGTATTTCTTCCGAGAGACTTCTTGTGAGGCACAGTACAGTGTATATTGTACCCTATGGCGATCAGCGGACCCGTCTGTCAATAACGTGTATGTGTGCCGTGTTGTCAGCTGTGTTTGCGTTGTAATTAATATTTCCGTGTTTAGAGCTTCTCCACTAACACGACCTAATCTGAGATTGCGTCGTGTCAACAGTGACTCGACAGTGTTAACGCTGGTAACTAAGAAGATGAAACGCGTGTTGACTTTGTTGAACTTTAACTCGTAGAAACTAGTTCTTTTCTGTTTTTCGGTTTCGCGAGCAAACGAGGATCCTGCCAGAGCCGACGCGTGCATATCAACGTTGTTAATTTTTTAAAATTAGGAATGATATTGTAATATTTTTGTTTGGTTTTAGAATTTTCTTTTTGGAAGAAATTCGAAAAGCTTTTTTATCGATAGATTCGTTGTTTGATGTTAGTGAACGAGGTAAAATATTGTAACGACAGATTCGTGATAATTTTTTTATTCAAGGTTAGTCGAAGGTTACTTCAAGGTCACTTCAAGGTCACAGCATATAAAATCGTTGAATTCGTGTTAATATTTTGTATGCTATACAGTTAACATACATAATGTCATTTAAATGAGGTGAACTTTTCATCGAAATAAAACTTCAAAAAATTTGTAGTCGATTGAAAATTGTTTTACTTTCGTTTGAAACACTTTCTTGTTCAACTACGGGAAGTACCAGACTATTCTGTATAATTCTGCCGTTTAAATGTATTGTTTAGGAGATCCATCTCTAACGACCTTGACCTTGATATGTGAAAGTGTGTACTACTGTCAAATTTGTTATAACTAAATCAATAATGAGCTTAAAAGGTGGAGGTGGGTCTTGTAATTAGTCAAAACGACGAACTTCTACTTAACCGCCCCCGAGAGGTTGAACAACTTGTTCTACTGTGACTTTCACACTTGATGTCGCTCGGGACTAAAGTTCGCTTCCCGCCATATTGCCCACCGTAGAATCTGCTAATCTCATTGTAAGATTCATAGCGATCAGAGTTGCCAGAAGTAGGGACAAGGTGACGTCACATTACACACGTGTTATAAGTGCTTATTTACAGTAGTACAAATATTACGTTACTCATGACGTCACATTTTCCCTACGTCAAGTACGGCAACTCCGATAGGATTTGTCTAAGTTTACGCGGAACCGTGTGACATAAAGTGTGAGAGTCGAACACGCGACGGCCCTGGTTCCAGCAACTATCCCCGTAAAAAGGTCTCCGTAGAAAAGAGAAGTCAGCCAGCTAGTCGCCGGCTTCGTTCGCGATCTATCCTAATGAAATGAAACTTGTCCTCGAAGGGAGCGTGAAGCTGTGTTGGATGGAGAGCTCGTTCGTTGGCACGAGACCCGTGGACTCGCCGGAGACGCCGATGAGCCTGGCCACGGACACCGATTGCTGTCCCGGATGCAACGCCACCGGCACCGAGTCCTGCAGTTGCGTCGACTCCGCGACTTCCGGTCTGTTCTTGGATCTGACGCCGACCCGCGAC